TTCATCAGGATATATATGAAGTAAAAGAATGTTTTGTGAGGCACTATAAATTAGGCTTGCTTTCAAAAACAAGGTGAAAAAAGCAGGCTTATTAATGTCACTTCATGTTTAGCATATACATTTAAGAAAAACTGAAAGGCTGTGTAGAACTGCCCAAAATTCCTAATTAAAGAGAAAGTCAGTTTCAGCTCCACTCAATTTGCCCCCCAAAGAAACCTCTGTCAAAGCTGACAGTCAACAGTATTTTGAATAGCGTGAAAGAACAACACAGTGCCATTTAGTTTTGTTTGCTGAATATGTGTTTAGAAAGGGATTCCAGCAGGGTGATTCCATGCTGTGTTAATCAGGTCTCCTGTACCTTTAATAACTCAACAGAAAGGAAAATTTCCATATATACAGCTGTTTCTCTCTGAACTTGGTTGTTTTCTTGCAGATGTTTCATTACTCACACTAGGTAACATCATCAGTGATAGCAGGGACTATAGCATAGTAAAACATTTGCAGAAAACAAGCATACCCAAAGAACACCAAGAACCCCTCATTTTAACTCTGAGCTACAAATATCCTCCTTTATTGGATCCTTTTTCTCTTTCTCTGGCTGTGATCCCTGAATGTGCCAAAACAGGTGAAAAGGAGCTAAGGAAGTAAATATTAAAAGATGGGAGGTTGTATGAGGAAAATAAAAACTGTATGTAGCTACATATTTGCTACATATTTGAAATGAAACTTATCACTTCAGCTATGACTTTTGATGTAAAAGAATAGGCCTTCACCTTACTGTTAATACATTTTTACAAATTTTGGGCATTTTGGAGGGAGACAGAATACACTGCAGCTCTATGATAACTTCCTTATTCACCACAGAAATCAAAACAAACCTTAGATGACAGGATTAGCATCATATTTGCATATAATAAAAAGGATACTATCTTAGCCAGCTGGTTAGCAGCCAACCAGGAAGCTATTCTCTTTCATTGTCCTAATATAGCCCAATTAAAGAGAAAAAAAGTCACTCTAAGGTGGGCATTTTAAAAGCACAGTACAGTACAGTAAGTGCTAAATTCCAGTGATGTGGGAAACTAAATTGCTTGGAGCCAGGACAAGGCAAGAATTCACACCAGTAGGAAACTGGCTGTTTTCAAGCCCCGGCATTTCTGCTGAAGAACTATGCTCATGTGAATTTATCCTATATCATGGAGAACGTAGTTCCATAGCTTTGCTGTCCAAAGGCAATGACAGTATGTGACTGCATAAATGCAGAGCTGATCTGGAAGTGGCACAAATATTGCATGTCAAGTGACCTGAGTATCACCACTGAATAAGAGTTGAATCCAGATTCTCTTAACCCTGCTGTAGCTTATCATTCACTTAAGTGTCTTCTCTGAGTCTGGTTCCCTTAACTAAAGTAATAGCTATCATTTTCCCCAAAATTACTCAGCATAATAATCTATCCTTTGAAACTGCAGAGAAAGTATGGCCGTCTGCTACTGTTTTATAGTGCTCCAAATCCCAGCCTCCACCTCCAGATTTTAGGCATAAGACGCACTTAAGAGGTTGTGAGGAACTTGATCTGACCATGGTGACTCCTGTCAGTGGACTGAAAAGCTTTGCTCAGAAGTTCTCGTGGGGCATAATGTCAGATAAGAAAAAAGAATTTTATTGTTTACAAAAGACAAATGCAATGAAGCATTTGATAAATAATAATAATGACAAATAATCTATGCTTCGACTACAGACTTTAAAAACATTAATTCTCAGTTATACTGTCTGCCTGTTTGTATTTAAGAAAATAATATTAAAGTCTCCAGTGCACCCTGAATTATACATCCTGCATACTGGAGGACAGTGGAGAAATGGGATGATCATATCTTTTTGTGCTATCTTATTTTATTTTTATTTATCTTCATAAGAAAAACAAAATAATTGGCCCATGAATCAGCTTTAGAATTGTTCAAGCAATTGCACCTTTTATTGTTCTGGTACAGCAGGTGGCAGCATAGAGCTAAACATGACTGATCCTTAAAAAGCCAAGCAGGGTCTGATTTGATTGGTACTTGATTGGGAAACTCTGAGGGATCCCAAGGCTACATGCTAAATTAGGAAGTGGATCCTGAAAGAAGGCAATGCTAACCGCTTTATATTCTTACCAAGGAAACTACATGGAGTTACAGGACTCAAGTTTATCTTGAAGGAATCTTTAGTTTTATCTTTTCTTCTTCACACTGAGCAAGAGCTGCATGAATTGCAGGGCTTGGAGGTGGGTGGGCAAATGTGCAAATGCTTCCATTTGGTGTACCTGCATCACATTTAATTGTACATATATTCCAGAGATTCTTCTCCCTCTCTCACATCCCTACCCTTCCCGTAATCCTCTCAACAGGCCTTAAAAAAATGGCTGGCTTCATGCAGCCAATAGGGAAAAGAATACAGTCCTTTATTTTCCAGTAGCCAGCTATTCCACTGAATACTGGGGAATATGGATAGGAATCCTTGAACCTTTGAGCTCTGAAATTCTGTGAAAAATGCTGCTTTTCAGGTGTTCATGGCATAGTTTTAATAAGAAGTGGGAGAATTCCACTCAGGAGCAAGAACTCCTGAGTTCATGTTAAATGGATGTGCACAATTTATGCCGGACAGTAATACATGTGTGAAATCTGAAAAGTTTTGCAATGGTGAAGGTGATGATGATTACTAAGGTGGGATGCGATGGCTCAGCGGTTAAGATTCTGAGCTTGTCTATGAGATCTCAGTGCTGCACAATAGGCTGAGCTCACATTACTCAACCTCAGCTCCTGCCTAGCAGTTCGAAAGCATGCAAATGCAAATAGATAAATAGATACTGCAGTCAATGCAGGCTGAACACACTCCCTTGAATCAGGGGGAACCTTTAAACTGCTAAATGGACAAATATATTTCCTCAACCGCATTGGAACATTTGAGCAGTTCTCAAATTAGGAAGGCATTTAAATGAAAAATGTTAGGGAGTAAATATACTGGGTTTCCTATAAAAACATTGAGATTACAATGCATGATTGAATATTAAAAAGAATATTTTGAAACAAAGATGCACTTTCTTGTCTTGGGCTTTCATTTATTTTATGTTTTAAAGGGTATTCTGACATTAAATCTAAGACCCTTCTTATGGGAAGGATTGGTTTCCAATGAAAATTTCATCTCATATATTCCACTCATCTTTTACTGAATGACAATTTTATTTCTGTCAATGGATGTTCCTATTCAGGGACATGGATATAAAGAGAGAATTCTTCATGTAACCAAATGGAATTTGATAGAAGGCTTTGTATTCTAAACCTTAGTCTGCTGACATTTTTCTTAATGGCTCTGAGGATTAAATTCTACTTCCTGCCATATATCTTGCAGCAAATTCTGTATTTCAGCAGATAGAATAAAGTTCAGTTCAAGACCTTATTTGACATTCATACAACCATAACTCTCCTTTTCGTAAAACTCTTGTTAAGTTTTCTGCTGATGCTGCATTGTGCTAGGCCAAGAAGGGGGGGCAGGGGGAACCACTGAGCCTAACTCCTGAGTATGTGCTCCTGGGTTTCATTCACCAGCTGGACCACTAATTATACATTGCCAACAAAAGGATGAAACTTTGCATGAAATATATGTGTGCTAATTTACATATGTGATACATCTTTTGAAAGAACATTTATTAGTGAAGCAAAAGGCCACTCAAAGTTGCTGTATTAATGAGATGGGGACATAGAAATGTAATAAATAATTATACATCTGATACTGTTGTAGGGGAACATTGTGACTAGGCTTTTTTTGTGTGTTAGCTCAATCTATTCCTCGGTGGTGCCTTTGGATGATAGGCTATATTAAGTTAGCGGATTTGCCTCAGTGCAAGAAAAGTCATGCTGACACCTTGAAAAGGTATTATAGAGCTAAGAAAATCAATGAAAAGGTCAACCAAAATAATTAAGAAATTGAAGTAATTCCTCTGTAAGTTTCTCCCCTGAAAACATATGGTACTAATATAATATATAATATAATATAGTGGAAATAATCTCTTTAGGATTATTCTGGTGCTTATCAATATTATATTTCCTTCACTGTAATGCTCACTCAATGAAGTTTTCTTTGAATAATGATTTTGACAGGATCGGTTTAAAGGCTATGAATATAGTATGTCTTTTTCCATGATGATGTTAAATATGTACAAATGTACATATTTAACATAAATCTCTTAAAGTTGTTACTTTAGATACCTTTTCTCTCTTTTTTTATAATTCTTCACTTGTTTTACCCTTTTAGAATCTTTTCTATACAATTTATGTTTCTGTAGTTTTTAAAATCTTTGTAAAATCTTATTTTAATTCAAATTATTAAAAAACTAGGTTATCAACATTTGTAGATTTGGGGATTGAAGATTATTTTTCATTATTTTTAACTTCATTTCTATTATAAAGTTTGTTTTTCAGTTTTTCCAGTTATTACATGAACATACTATGTAATATATGATAACAGAATTTTATTGTTAACATGGTACTAAAATTTAAGCACAAGGAATCCATTTGCAAACTAGTAACCAGTTTTATAATATTGATTCCATACATTTAACCCATCTACATCCACAGATGGGGGGGGGGGGAAATCACTTTTTCTTAGTTACTTGTTTCTGCCAATCTGTCTGGTTTTCTCCTCAATTTTGATTTTTTAAAATTATTTGAATAAAATTTACATTTATTTTTAGGATTTTTTCGTCTTTTGAAAATTTCTGCAATAATTAGGGTTCCTCCATTTATCCTGAGGTCTTTCTAACGGCTCCATTTTGGCTGTAATGCTGGCAGTAGTTATCACCTAAGCATAGTGTGTTTATATTATATGAAGATATGAAAATGGCTTAATTTTGGATGTCAAGAAACCCTTGACATCATCCCTCTACAATTGGAAATCATGCTTATCATGCTGCATTTATCTGTACAACTAAATTTTATTTGCTTTTTTATGTGTATATATTTTTTTTGCAGTTTACTCTTCACAAAAATAAAACTGGAATTAATACATAAAGGACCGGAAGAGGCTTTAGTGACCTGTAGACATATGTTGCATCAGTGGCAGATGTTGTATAATGTTTCGCAGCAAAGGTAGGCTTTTCTTTAAATTAAAACTGGATTTTCTTAAAATGGAGATGCAGAAAGGGTTGTTTGGGCATGGGAGTTCATATGCCTAGTGCAGTTTCATAGCCAACATTTCATGAACAGCTGCAAAATGTGAGCCATATTGAATCAAACCACTGCTTGCTAATCTAGCATTCTGTGTAACATAGCCAGAACATGCAGGGACTTTACAAGCATGGACAGAGGGCAATAGTGTTCTACTATTACTCCTCGGTAGCTGGTATGTAAGGAATGCTGTGATTCAGGAGATAATATTCAACCATTAGGAGCAATAACCACTGATAGGCTTATCATCCATGAAATTGTTTATTTAAACTGGTATGACTTAGATAGGTCTCAAGGCTAAACTTTGCAAAGAACTGCCTTTCACTGATCCTGAATCATTTCTCTTTTAATTTCAGTGGCTGAGTTTTAACACTATGACAGGAGGAGAGAAACTTCTGTCTCTCCATACTTTCATAAGTTATTACATTTCTCCATATAATTTTTATTCTATTTGCCACTTTAAAGCACATTCAGCCAATTTTGGAATATAATGTAGGAGCTCTTCACATACTTCATCAGTGTTTCTATTCTGAATGATTCTGTGTCATCAACAGAGTTGTCTATATTATCGTCCACCCCTTGAACATATTAAAAAGTAGAGATCCCTGTGCTTCAAGAAGTCTAGGTCAGTCTAGCAAGCTAGCATTTGTTTGTAATTGTGTGTGTGTGTGTGTGTGTGTGTGTGTGTGTGTGTGTGTGTGTGTGAAATATTAGTCCATCATGTAAGAACACCACACCTTTAATCTGTGATATAGTTCCTGTAGGAGATCAGACATAAATAGTGATTCCATCAACAGCAGTGCCATCATTGTGGAAATGAGTCAATATTGACTGTAAGAAGGAATAGAATCCAGAAACAAGATCATCTTAGCAGCCTGAAATTCTTTCAAGAAACCAAGCTGATTGTCTTAAGAGTAACTTTGCCACTTGCTTGCAGCCCAATGACAGCTTCCTGAAGGGATGGAGACTATCTTGGTGACCACAATCTAATTAAGAAGAGGGACACTTCCCTCTACTATTCATTCTTGGTTATATTGTCAATCAGCATAATATCTACTCAAACCCAGGCCAGTTTGATTTAACATTCCAAGGAATGGGAGTGGAATGAATAACTCAGTAAAGAGATGGTCCTGCAGTAAAATGGCAGCTGGGAAGGAAGGAAGGGAGGAAGAGCTCCATACTGACTATCTAGTTGTCCTGATGGTGAAAAAATTAGCACCATAGTGACATTCCCTTGGTCCATATGTGAAGCAGTCACAAGTTTGTCTATTACGGGAGCTTCCGGTGGTTAGCGTCGATGATGGCGGCTACATTGTAACCGTCCTCCTGGGACAGCGTGAGAACCGCGGAATACAACAGTCACCAGCTGTTCCGCGGCTCAAAATCTCCCTCCCGGGTGAAGGGAGGGGGGAGAGAATCACCCGAATAGAGGTAGAGTATCTCAAACCCCCCAGGGATTTTTGGGGGGGGGTAGAAAGAGAGCTCCCTCGGAGTTCGGGTTGCCTCCGCCTCCCAGGTGTCTTTGTTTCCTCTGGGAAACAAAATGAAACGCCGCTACCATCTCCGCATTTAAAGAGACAGGGTGAGTGATTTTTTATATATATAAAGCGGACAGAGCTGGATAAAGGATTTGGTTTATTGAGTTTTATTTGCTTTTTAGTTTAGGTTGATCTTTTTCTTTTTGTTTTTTTTTGTTCGTGTGGAGAGTGAAAGTAAAATGGCGATTTGAAAGTTTTTTTCGGGGGAAAAAGAAAGTGAGTCAAACGGAATGCTATGGACTATATAGTTTTTTCTTTTTTCTTTTTAAGCTTTTTCCTCTTTTTTTTGAAAGTGGTCCTGTGTTTTTGAAATATCTTTTAAACTCTCCTTTGTTTTTTTTAACTTTTTGAGCATTTTTTTTTACAAAGTGGAAATAAGAAAAAAAAATTAAAAAAAAATGGCTTCAAAAAGGCAAGCAGCTTCTACAGTTCCTAAGGTGGCTTCTTCTCCTGCGATTTTACCGGTACAACAACCTAAAGCTACACCACCATCTTCTCCTCCTCTGCCAGTAATATCTGTACAAGATATGAAAGATATAATGGGAAATGCAGTAACTCAAATCAGAGGGGAAATGAAGGAGCTTCTAGATCAGAATAAAACTGAAATTAGAGGGGAAGTGAAGAATCTGTTGGAGCAGAATAATACCATTTTGAGGCAAGATATAGTTATGGCTCTATCAGGTCTTGCTTCTGTGGTTGAGAAGCTTGACTCTAGATTTGAAGAGGTTGCAGACAAGGTTTACATCTTGGAAGATAGATTTGAAGGCATGGAAAAAAAGATGGAAAATTCACAGGATGACATTGTTATGTCTCAGTACAGAGAAATGGAATATGCCTTAAGAATTAGGGGTCTCAAAGAAGATATGCAACAAGACCTGAGAGAGATCGTGGTAAATGACTTTGCTGTTATTTTGAATAGGGAGAAAGAGGAAATACGCAGAGAGGTTGAAAAACTATTCAGAGTTAACTCCTGGATTGCAAAACAGAGAAATTTACCAAGAGATGTGGTGGTTTATTTTGGAAAGAGATCTCTGCGCAATGAAATCATACAAGCCTTTTATAATAAGAGATTCCAGATTGCTGCTCAAGATGTTATTATTTTAAAGGAGATCCCATCTAAAATTCTAAGAAAGAGAAAAGACTTTGCTTTCTTATCTAATGAACTTAAAAAAAGAATGATGCCATTCAGATGGGAGATTCCGATGGGTATTGTTCTGAGCCATGCGGGGACGCGTTATAGACTTAATACAGTCACTAAAGCAAAGGAGTTTTACAGCTCGGTCCTGGGAGCAGGCTCACCATCATCTATGATGCAGAAAGTTCTGGATGGTAAAGAGGTTGAACAGCAGTCTGAAGGACCAGGTGTGATGGCGGCTGGAGAGTTACAGTTGGAGTGGTCCCGACAAGCAGAGATTAAAGAGCAAAGAATGACCCATGCAGCGCATAGACGCAAGGAAAAGGAACAACAGAGGAAAGAGGCTAAAGAATCTCTTCAAGAAAGTGCTTCGTTGCTAGTGGGAGGAGCAAGACCTAAGAGTTCTGCAGCACATTCTTCAATGGCAGATCTTCAAGCAGTCTTCTCCAGGCTTCTGGTTAAGGGAGATGGTAAAGCTCCTGACTTGGAATGTTAACGGCCTTAATTCCCCCCAGAAGAGAAAGAAAATCTTTCATTATTTAAAGCAACATAATAATGATATTATTTGTTTGCAGGAAACACATATTATACCTAAAGATCAAAAATATTTAGTCAATTCTCGTTTGGGATCTCATTTTGTATCTTCTGCTCCTGGGAAAAAAGGGGGTGTAGTTATTTACATCAAGCAAAACTTATCAGCCTGTTTGGTAGAATCTGATCTTCAAGGGAGATATGTTATGATTGAAGTTGGTTTATATGGTAAGAAAATACTTATAGTGGGATTGTACGCACCAAACCAACAACAGGAACAATTTTATAGATTATTACATCAGAAATTAACTTTGTTGGACTACAGATCTGTGATATTAATGGGTGATTGGAATGGTGTGTTAGATACACAAAGAGACAAAAAAGGATCTTCTACTTCTTTTAAACAGGCTAAATTACCTAAAGCTTTTTTTGATTTGAAAGAGGACTGGGAACTACATGACTACTGGCGTGAACGCAATCAGGAGGAGAGAGACTTTACTTTCTTTTCAGATAGACATCAATCCTTTTCAAGAATTGACTTTTTTTTATTACAATTGATTTATATTTTAGGGTAAAGAATGTTAAAAATTTTCCTAGGACATTGACGGATCATAGTCCAGTCTGGATGGAGTTGGTTGATGAAAGAGAGGAGAGGAGATCGTGGAGGATGAATGAAAATTTATTTAGACAAGAAAAGAATGTTCAAAAATTAAAGGAGCACTTAAAGGATTACTTTGTTTTAAATATGTATAAGGGAACTTCAATGTCAATGGTATGGGATGCAGGGAAAGCCTTTATGCGTGGGATTTTGATACAAATGAATAATGCTCATAGACAAAAGCAGATTCAGAAACGTAAGGAATTGGAAGATGAGATTAAATCAAAAGAAAAAATTTTGATTTCAAATCCCACAGATGAAAAGGTTAAAGAATCTATAAAATTGCTTAAAACACAATTCAATATGTTGATGGCTGATCAAACTGCAACTAACTTACTGTATATGAAACAAAATACATTTTGCAATGCTAACAAACCAGGGAGATGGTTGGCTTATCAATTAAGAAAGAAACAGAGACAGAGAATTATAGATAAAATAAATTATAATGGTAAACTAGTATATCATAAGGATTTGATTAAGAAATCTTTTTTAGATTGTTATCAAAAATTATATAAGAGTACTAAAATACAGGTTTTAGATATAGAAAATTATTTAAATGAAGCCAACTTCCCTAAATTAACAGAAGATCAGAAACAAGAAATTAATGGTTTAGTTACTAGTGAGGAAATTGAGACAGTGATTAAAGAATTAAAATTAGGTAAAGCACCGGGTACGGATGGTTTGACATCTATTTATTATAAAACCTTGGTGCAAGAGATGATTCAACCTTTAAGAGAACTTTTTAACAATATATTACAGGGTTTAGAGATTCCCCCATCATGGGGTAGAGCTTTTATATCTTTAATCCCAAAAGAAGATCAGGATCTTACTTCACCAAAGAATTACAGACCTATATCTCTTTTAAATGTAGATTATAAGATTTTTGCAAAAATTTTGGCTAATAGGCTTATGAGGGTTTTGCATCAGGTTATACATAAGGATCAAACGGGTTTTATAACTGGAAGGTACATGAAGAATAATGTCAGACAAATTATTAATTTATTAGAATACTTAGACAAAAATAATCAAGTTCCTGCAGGACTGATATTTTTAGATGCTG